TTTTAAAAATTATGATAATACGAATTATGATAATACAAACAGTTTGCAAAAAACTTTGTAAATGTTAAATGATAAATAACGAAATCCATTTTTTGTCAAAAATATAAGAAAGAATATGTCTTTGAAATTTGGGATAGTTCAGACTACTGAATTATTCATATCTGTGTGACTTATCATGAAATGTAATAACGACGTTTTGCATCATATATGAAAGATATCTATATTGATAAGAAAAAATATATCTTTTTTTGATGTAAACTGATAATTACAGTTTCTCTCAAAGCAAAAAAAATATTATTTGAATTTCAAATACAAAATAAAGTAGAAAGAGATGAATTAAAGATCCGGTTATCAACTTTTTCAAGGCCAAAAATGATTGTAGTAATATTCAGTTCCACTTATGCAGTTAGTTCCACAGCAGGGCCGTACAAATGAAAGATGCAGTGAGTGATCTGCACCAGAGCGCTATAGTTAAGGAGCCAATTTCAATCAAAAATATATTATTTTTTGCTTGTATTGGTTATAATTTATATTGATAATTGTTAATTGTGTTATAAGTTTTGGTTACATTTTTTAAAATTTTAAATTTCTTTATTATTAAATTCACTACTGACTAGATAAAGAGCTTCTTCCTTATTTTTCACCGAAGTACTAAAAACTTTTTTTTACTGTTCCGTGTTTCTTAGATTAATAAACTCAACTGTAACTGTTATTAGGACATTTTATGATAGACTATACTTACTTGTATGCTAAAGATCGATTTAAGAGGACAATACGAAGGTCGATGTCACTGGCAATACAATAATACTTTCTACTCACATACACTAAACTTCTTTTTGTAGAATCCGTAATCAGAAATATTTTAATAGTATATTTGTAAATAAATTATTAAAAAATAAAAAAAAATTAGCTTACAGCATTCTGTACTCATAAAGATATTAAATAATCTCAGCAGACTAATAGACAAGTTTTTAAGTGTAATATTTACTTTCATTTATTTTACATTGTACAACTCGTTGTAAAAATAATAATTATTTAATGTATGTAATGTGATTAAATATCTATTTTACGTTAATTAGTCATTTGAAATAATTATTTAAAGAAAACTTATTCAATCTCTAGAAAACAGATTTATTAAAAGCTTATTAAAAGTTATTGGCTTTTAATAATGCAAATTACATCGGCTAATTGATCATTTTTCTTCTAACGGAGAATTCAAAATATCAAATACAATGTGTAGTATATTCAAAATATTCTATTCCTTGTTTCTTTATCTTGAAAATTTTCATATAATATATTTCTATATTCTATTATAAAAGCTATGAAAATAATTATTCTAATAAAATATTTCAACAGAATTTATTAATTTAATGATATTACGTTAATTAATGTAGAGTTTTATATTCAATACTATCATTGTTAATTGTTAATTGAATATTTACAAAAGCAAAAGAAAAATAAAATATTTTCATTGAAATCATTTGCATAAATATTCGATACGTTGTTGTTATCCTGCATTTGTTATTTCATATTAATAAATAATTAATATTAGTAAATAATAAATTTGTTTCTTATATTTGTACATGCATGCATTGCAATAACATATTTCTTGTAATTTATTTAGTTACAGAAATGATGTATATGATAACAGATATATAAAAATAATATATATAATACTTTTGAAGTATTTTCTGAACACAACCAAAGTCTACATTTTCTTTTTTCTTAAAGTTTTTATGAAACGTTTTATTATTTTGTAAATTTATAATGTTTATAATTAAAAAATTAACAATTAGAAGAATTTTGGCAATTTATATAGCACATATTTTACATTTTAGTTTTTATCCATAAAGAATAGATAAAAAAAATGTTCAATTGTAAGGCCAAAGTTACTTTTATCTATATGTGTTGCGAAAATTCTATATATGTTGCTCATTATAACAGAATTACAAACACAATTATAAGATAAGATAAGATTTAAAATGATAATATTTTTTTCTAATTTAGATAGACTTACTTTATCCAGAAGTTGGTTTTGTGGAAATAGATCCTGATCACCTATGGCGGATCATAGTAAAAGTAATCAAGGATACATTGGACCGTAAGTTATTAACATTATCTTTCTAATTATAGCGTATTTAAAAATTTCTTTTTTATCATATCTAGAATAGTGATAGACAAAATTTATATGTGATTTTTAAACACATTGCATCAACACATATCCATCTTGCAGCATCTGATATAGTTTATTTTTCCGATAAGGAGTAACATAATGAGAGAAAAAGGATATATCAGAATCTATAAATTGCTTATGGTGTACATAGGTTTTATCAAACTCCATAATCCATAATCTAGAATGGATGAACACAGAAAAGTTTGGTTTCACGCATTTTCAGTAGACACATAAAGGTTTAATTTGAGCCACGACTGATCCTAAATCTCCACTATTTATACATAAATCGCAAGCTTACAAAAAGCTTCATATTTAATATTTTATAATTTTAACAGTAATTTATAAATAAGACTATTGATTAATTGATAAATTTTAACGGCATCGAATATGATGGGTATCGGCTTAAGTTGAATCTTTAACTACTCATCGAATGTGTGGCAAACCTTATTTCTGTATTTCGGTCTGTTCTAGAAATGTCCACTGTAAACCGAGATGACGCCAATAGGACGCATCGAAAGTAAGAAATCATATCATTCTGCTTGCGCATTTACCGCATCAATGTCATTAATGCTTATTATTTATATATTGTTTCGCCAGTCTAGTGCAATCTATATTTACAGATTTTATCAAAGTATTTTATTTAATTAAACAAAATTCTTTTTGACATTTCCTTTTATATCAGATTAATTTCATAAACTTTCATGACAGAATGTTTCTGTTTTTTCCTCAAATAAAAGCACATACAGGCTTTTACAGATAACTTCTATTTCAAATATTGATCGAAGTCATCTTTGGTTCACCATCTCTGTTAGTATCTCTGTTAGTAAAAAAAAAGTTAAAAATAGATAAAAGATATATAGATATTCTTAACTTCAGATCCCGCTGCACATGCTGATTTTATATGTTTAATTTATGTTTGTTTTATATTGCATCTTATCTATTATTCGTAGCAATGATTAAATCAATTTGTTTTATTTATGATTGCAGATAATAAAATCGATCCGAAGAATATTGTCTGCATTGGAATTTCATCACAACGCAGCAGTTTTATTACCTGGAATATAAAAACTGGGAAATACTATCACAGGTAAGAATTATCACAAAAAATACTGACAATAATTATTTCGATGAAGACATTTTGGAAATTTTATAATTTTAGGATTTTACAATTATTATTTCAGATTTATAACATGGAAAGACCAACGAGCAACTGCTTTGGTCAAAGAGTGGAACCAATCACTAACAATGAAAGGATTAAGAATGGGTTCACGCATTTTGTATACATTTACAAGAAACAAACGATTCCTGGCTGGCAGTGTATTGAAATTTATGAATTTACAGGTTGAAATGCTTTACCAGTTGATTTTCTCTTTTTATTATATTGATAAAGATAGATCGACATATTTCGTGATTAGATAATTTTATATTATTTTTAACAGTTAAATAAATTTTGGACTTATTAACTTTTTTCTAATAATTATTAATAATAAGTCTAATATTATTTATTCAAGTTGGTTTGTAGGTTACCTTAAAATTAGTATGGGTTCTCCAGAATATTCCGGGTCTTCGAGAAGCTGCATCTAATGGAGAGGTGGCATTTGGAGGTGTGGATTGTTGGCTCTTAAATAAACTGACAGGTGAAGTTATATTTTATGTTTCGCTTTTAGATTTATTTCAATGTCTTTAAAGTTTTCACACAGTGCTAATTATGAAATATTTTTATAAATTATTATAAATTATATTTCTTATAAAACTTTATGAATGTCATAGATACCAATTATTCACTAGTAATATTTTTTGAAATAAAATAATGCTTTTTATGACTTGCTAATTTATTATAATCAGTTAATAATTTATTTATTATAGGAAAGCACATAATGGATGTTTCATGTGCTTCGGCAACTGGTATATTTGATCCATTTACAATGGAATGGGCTGATTGGGCGTTAAATATTTTAAAACTGCCACGTAATATTTTTCCGGAAGTAGTAGATACAGCTGGTAATTTCGGCGTTATACCCAAAGATATATTTGGAGCTGAAATTCCAATTTGTTGTTCGGTAAGTAACCCAATATAATATATTTTTGTAATATATAATATTGTAATATTATGTATGTAATAATTTTATTATAAATACACACACAATACAAATCTTGGTTTAAATTAATAATCAATCATATCAATCAAAAAAATTAATAATCAATTATATATGAAACTGCAATGTTAATGTCAGAGATGAGTTTCTTTAATATCTAATTCTAATAATATCTCGATAAAATTAGATGGCCGATCAAGCAGCGTCTTTATTTGGTTCAGGATGCTTTAAGCCCGGCGATCTCAAGATTACTATGGGGACAGGTACTTTCATGAATGTTAATACAGGACAAGAGCCACATGCATCTGTTGCCGGTAATTTTACAAACTTATATATATTTTAAATAATATATTTATTAATTTAAAAGGACACATAAGAATAAAATTAAGAAATTGTTTAGGACTTTATCCAATTGTTGGATGGCGAATTGGGAAAGAAATAGTATATGTTGTAGAAGGATCTTCAAGCGACACCGGTATACTCATTGATTGGGCTAAATCAATAGGTAATTTATTTATTTTTATATTGTTGTAAAATATAATATTATATATTATTATGTATCAAATTTATAAATTCATTTGCAGATCAGATTAAATTATTGCAATACTATCATTATATAATATAATATAATTTATGTATAAAGTATGTCTATTCCGTATTAATAATATACATGTAAGTTTTTGAAGAAAAAGAAATCGAATTATTCTAGATGAAATTCTGTATACATTACTCTGTTATATATTGATTATTTTATCTTATTAATGTTACAGGAATTGTAAACAACGTTTCAGAGACGTCTGATATGGCAAACTCAGTCAAAGATACCGATGGAGTATATTTTGTCCCTGCATTCAGTGGACTGCAAGTATGTTTTATTAAATTTTATTAAATGTTTTATTATATTTTTCGGTATTGGTTTATATAAAAAAAACATTTACAAGAAAATATAGTAAGTATTTGCAATTAATGTACAAAAATTATTTTTATAATTCCTATTATTCTCATTCACAATAATAAAAAATATAATAAATCGTATATCTTTTTTTATATTTTTTAATAGCAATATCTATCTATCAGAATATTTTTTTATTCTTATTTACTGTATAAAATTAAAAAGAAAAAAAGATTTTTGCAAAGTATATGAATAGTTACAAATAAATTAAAAAATGATAATACATATACATATAAAAATATATCTCTAGCTATAGTACTTATTGAACTATAGTACTGATTTATGTTTCAGGCGCCTATAAATGATTATACAGCTGCAACTGGTTTCTTTGGATTGAAGCCTACCACAAAAAAAGAGCATATTGTTCGAGCCTTACTGGAAAGTCTGGTTTTCAGATTACAATTACTTCATGAATGTTTATGCAAAGAAACTTCTTTCACGTATTACAAAATAAAGTAAAAATTACATTATAAAAATTATAATAGAATGATATAAAAAATCTATATGTTTTTAGTTACCTACGTAGTTAATTATGATCATAAAATTTATAACAATATAGTATAAAACTAAAAAATGTTTTATTTTGCTGTGTTATCGATCGATCGATCGATCGAGAGAGAGAGAGAGAGAGAGTAGAGAGAGAGAGAGAGAGAGAGAGAGCTTGTAGTTAAATCTTTATGTTTCTCAATAGGGAGAAAAGGTCAGGTAAGCTACGGCTAACTAACCGAATAATCGAAAGTGTTGAACGATATATAGTGCTGGTGTGAAACACATGTAATAAGTGAAATTGCATGACCTACGCAGGCTTGTCCCAATGTATCATGCCAACACGCGAGATTGCCTATCAGCTGATAGTTACTCGCCAACCGTAGAATTCATTAACGATAACACGCAGGACACACAATATCCCATCCAAGTCAAATTTAGTCTTTACAGAGATCAAACAGGTGCAACACGCTTTTTTTCTGTGCTTTACGACAACTCGATCATACTCGCAATTAAAAAATAGTTTTTCATATTCATTTCAAAAGTTACTTGAAACTTATTGTTTATTTAATTTATTACTTTAATGAACAAATTAAATGCTAAATTATAAAATCTAAAAGCTATAACGTAGTAACGACTTATTTATAAAGTCAATTATTCATTAGTCAATTAGTTCATTATTTAACAATATTATTACTAGAAATACCTACTTGTTACTATTTATATGAATTAATCTTAGATTTACAGTGAATAGTTTAAAATGGCGTCGGAAATAAGGAGCTTGAAACGAGCACTAAGGTCCATTATATGGCTCAATTGTTTATTTTGCATGGGAATATTTGAAATACCCACGAATCATCCACGATATTTTTTAAGTATTCTCTACGTCATCTCAATGTTTTCCGGATATTTCTATATGTTTTATGCAGAATTAGATTTATTCCAGAATATGCGCGATTATGAATATTTTATATTTTGCGCTGTTTTGGGAGTGAATGTTTTAGTTGCTATTTTTGCCGTAATATTATTCTGGCTAAAATCAGAGGTATGCTTAATCATTATATAATATAATATAATATATTTAAGGTGAAATCATTAAAAATAATAAATAAAAGTTATAAAAAGAGTCATATTAATGTATTGCAGAAATATTAATTACATATGATAACATATTGTATACAGTTAATATTTAGTTAATTTTGATTAATATATTTGATCAATATATTTAAATTAAATATAAATTTACATTCTTTTTATAAATATATTTTTAAATAAAATTTTTAAACAAATTTGTAAGCAATGTTTGTTACTAATAAATAATAATATCAGATATCCTGTCGCTTCAAATGATTATTTTTAAATAAATATACTAATCTAATTAATTTTAATACTTCAAGAATATGAATAACATAATTAAGAAGAATAGTTTAGCAGACAGTACTTTAGAAGCATTGGGCATAAAAAGAGAGTACGAGAAGACTTCTCGCAATGTTAACTGGATTATAGGTTTTTGGTTAACAATCATGGTAATATTAAGCATCATGCATATGTTGTGGACGTATACCGAAGGATATTGGTTTGCTATTTATAGCGATATATGTTTCTTTTTTCCGATTGTGATAAATTCTGTAGTGGATATCACATTCGCTTCATTTATCAGGCAAGTATTATAACATATTTTTCAAAGAAATAATATTCAATTTTTGTAAGAAGTTTGTTAAAAAAATTAGAGTTGTATTTTTAATTTTTAAGATATTTTTCGATTATAATAATACGTCTCTTTAAATTATTTGTAATAGACAATTAATTGAACAATGCACTTTTATTTACGTACTTGAATACTGATTAAAATTGCAATGCGATAGGTGTATTAAATTAAAATTTAAAAACACAAATATTCTACTCAACAATGTTGTACTTCGTGCAAGCGAATCAAATGTCTTCAAGATTCATAATCAGCACGAGAACACGTCTATTGCAATTGTCAGGGCACACTATAAAAATCACAAAGATAAGATAATACATCTTATGCAAACATTAAGGTAAAATCAATAATTCTATTACAAAGCAATTATACGTTATAATTACTAAATAATAAAAAATCTTGGAATAAAAATTAATATATGATATTTTTCTTTATATCGTATTTTTTATGATATCTATTAAATCAATTTTTATTATATATATATATATATATATATATATATATAATAATATATATAATATACACATCTAGACAAACCATAGAATGTAATTGCTGTATAACATAGATAGTAAAATATGTACACTTATATCTATATTATATAGTAGTTACTATTTCTGGTTTACGGACACACACACACACACACACACACACACACAC